CGTGATGCGCCGGTTAGCCGACATCGGCAGTGCAGTGAACCGCAAGGCTGAAGGCTTTTTACAAGTTTTAGACTGTTTTTGTTTGATAACTGCTGTTTTACGCCGCAGTGCGCGATACGAAAGTTATCACAAGAATGCTGAGTTGTGGGCAAAAGTCGGACCACGGGCGGGACTCGAACCCGCATCTTCTGCTTACCGGGCAGTTGCGTTACCACTTACGCTACCGGGGCCACTTTTGACCTCTCAGCTCAATGGCTATTTGTGCCATTGCCTTCGAGCACTCACACGTTCAACCCGCCATCTGTCTGCAAACTGCCGGTAAGCAGAAGCATGCGGGTGTCGATCCACCCGTGGTCGACCTTTTTGCCCACAACCTCTCAGCATTCTCCTGTGATAACTTTCGCGCATCGCGCGACTGTGCGGCCGCACTGAAACAGCAGTTATCAAAACAAAAACAGTCTAAAACTTGTAAAAAGCCTTCAGCCTTGCGGTTCACTGCCGATATCGGCTAACCGGCTCATCACGTTGAACGTGTGAGTGCTCGAAGGCAATGGCACAAAATAGCGCCATTGAGCTCGAGAGCCGTGCAAAATGGCCCCGGTAGCGTAAGTGGTAACGCAACTGCCCGGTAAGCAGAAGATGCGGGTTCGAGTCCCGCCCGTGGTCCGACTTTTGCCCACAACTCAGCATTCTTGTGATAACTTTCGTATCGCGCACTGCGGCGTAAAACAGCAGTTATCAAACAAAAACAGTCTAAAACTATGTTGGATAATGCCCTTTACGACGCTTATGACAAAAGTTTTCCTTCAACTTCTCAAGGAATTTGTGCCCTTTTCTTACGATATTTAATACAATAATTAATGACGAGTAATGAAACGAATTCGAAGTATGGAAATCCTTCAGGCTCGCGGTTCACTGCCCATATCAGCTGACTGGCTCCCAAGGTGTAATCATTTGAGTGCTGTACCATTTTGGCACAAAAACCCGTATAGCAGAGAGATTAGAAGACCCCGTGGTGGCGTAGCGGCATAGCGCGCGATGCTCGCCAAAGCCGTGAGAAGCAGGTTCAGACCGGCCTGAAGCCTCTGACAGCCAAGAACTTTGCTCGGAACTCCACCATTCATGTCGCTTCCGCGAGTGCGAAGTACGGCCTTGAAGCAGCGGTTAGCACCATCCTTAACAACGCGATTCAGTCTAGCGTCAGAGTGTAGAACACTTTCAAATCTAAGAACGCAGGACTCTTCGTCAGCTTGAAGCCTTTTCTGGAAAGGTCGCGGGTCTATTGTAATCACTCCCTCATTCAGAAAAAGAGTATACCAGAAACCTCTCCTTCCGCAATGAAGCTTGTCGTTTCGCGCCGTCCGATTTTGTCGGGCACGCATTACGCTTCAGTCCGCGTAGCGGCTTATTAATTTCTTTTTTTTTTTTTTTTTTTTTTCCGACATGGCTTATGTTACGCATGATATGCTGAGGGGCAAACTGATGTAGGTCAGAGTTTCGTCGCTTCGTCTGTGCGTCTGGATTGACCTGCACCAGACAGTAGCCGCAGCTGGATTGGGCTGGGCGGTAGACTGTACTAGGAATTTAACCCAATTAGGTGCCGCACTGTATTTCCTTCCATTTTTTTTTTTTGGTAAATTCTAAGAGAGATAACTCCTCAGCTGGAAGCCTGTGATGAACGTTGACGCCCTGTAAGCTTCCAGTCTGTTGCACTGCGTCATCCCCATTTTTGCAAATATCGTTGTTATTGTGAAATACATTAAGTCCCCAATGGTGATGTTGCTGTTACTGAATGAGCCCCAAAATCAATGGTAGCTGTTAGTAGTCGTCGTCCGTCAGCACTCTTGTCCTTTCTGTCCATCGCTGTCGATCCTCCGTCGTGGTTGCAGATAATGTATTTCAACCCTTACAGTTATTTCACCTCTCATAGCCTCGGGTTTGTGCCATTCAAAGGTATTGTCCAGGAGCAAGCGTGCTGCGGTTGAGCAAACGGAAAGCGCATCAACATGCCCTTACGTGCCCTATTTCGGAGCCAATGTAATATTTGAATTACCCCGGCGGCATATCGTTCGCCTCAACCAGCTGTCACCAATATGAGCTCTGACGGATTTCATAGGGGTCTCAGAGACAACACCTCATCAAAGGTGACCACCACATGTTGCTTTTCCCTTTCCTTCATTTCTCAGTCAATTCTTCCGCTGAGAAGAACCCTAAGAATCCCTTTTAGAACATGTTTGGCTCCAACAGCGAATTGACGATTGACTGGAGCCCTGGTGCATCAGAATCGCTACACTGTTCAAGTCTACCTGGTCATGGTTCAGCTTTCCCAACAGTTTTTGCTCATTTTTATGGTCGGCGCTGTTCAGCGGTCGTTCTCAAATCGCTTGTGGGCTGGATTTGGGCTTCTGCCCAATCGTAAATTGTGTGGGTGCATGCAGCAACCATCTGCGCGACTGACCACTGATCAAGTAAACGAATTTACTCTCCCAGACAAGTGCGGTAATACAGTGGATTTCACTGTGAGTTGACGTGGGCGCATGGTTGATGCATGTGCTGGTGACGCGCCTTGTTACTACATCATCTACGCAAGGCCTGATTTTCGTAAACATTCAGCCTCTGTTTAGAGCCGTGTTAGCATTTTTTGCATGTCGCATTGATTTCCCATAAAATGAGGGGTCTATTATTTTTGCTATGCTGCTAGTCTTACTGGGTTCCTTTCATCCACTATTTTAGCGCGTCATACATTTGTTATTTTTTCTGGCTCTTGTCCATTATTGGTAGGCATTTAGGCCGATTCATAGTTTGCGGAGGTTGCAGAGATCTCGTTTTCGCACGGGCTCCTTGAAGCTGCGAAATATCACGAACTTAGTTTCATGCTAGTTCTCCGACTTGAAATGGAAAAGTCAACAATAGGAAAGTTCTTCATTATTTAGTCGCTGGAAAAAATACTTCTGTCTTCCCAGCGACTGAATACGATCCCCCCA